TGTTAGTTTATTCCAAGTCTGGTGCATGTTGCAACACTCCTGTAGCAACATTCAAAACTAAATAGCTCTGTTAAATGTAATTTTCCTCTTGTACCAAAATCTATTGGATGTAAGAACAGAAAAGGAGACTTCTGCTAGTGATACCAGCACCAAACCAGGTGAATGGGAAAAGGAGAAAGAAAGAAATCTTTTCAAAAGTTGACCAGATGACCACCTTGGTCTCAATTACAAGATCTCAATATTTACAGTTCAAACTAGAAGTTTAATAGACTTTACTGTGCTATTCATTTCCTATTTCATTGCCTGTTCATCCATTTGTGGGAATCATTTAGGATATTTTAAATATACTTAATGTGATGCTTGCAAATTTGACTTCTTCATTGTTTTTTCCCCCCAATATGTTTTTATTGCAGACACAGGTAGAATAATATCACAATCCATCACCATTTAAAATACATATCAAATATTATTTTCTCAGTGTTCTTAACCTTACCTATTCCACCTTTATCTCCCACTTGTATGTCTCAGTTTTACACCTCTCTATACTGGGAACAGTATTTTTCTTCATTCAAATACTATTTTAATTGAACAATCGTAGAAGGAGAATTGTTCAATTCTTTATATTTTCCTTTTCCTTTGACTTTATCTATCAGTCTTCCCCATTTCAAAACCCAGTTATTCTTGATTCTGCCTGATGTATATTTCGTTCTTCTTTCAAAGATGTAGTCCTGGAGCATAAAGTCTGCTAGGTATCCGTACCATATTTTAGCTTCCCACTTTCTGTGGTCTTTCCAACCTAAGGCCACAGTTATTTCTTCATTGTTTATGTGAGACCCAAGCCATGAATGACTAGATACTTCATTTGATCTTAGTAAGAAGATATGAATATGGAAGTTTAATTGCACTGGCTAAAAACAGAATGATGATGAAAACTACCCTGCTTTTTCTTCTGTTGTAAAACTTGATGAGCGTGTAAAAATTAGAAATCATTCCTTTTTTACTAAAGTGAACATGTTTCAAGGAGACACTCCTACAATTGTGCAACTATACTTACTTACTTGCAACTATACTATGCCTCAACATAGGCAAGTTTTGAGCTGATTTTGTCCATTAGGAGTTTGGGAGGAATTAGCTGAATCACTGAATTTTAGTGGATTTAGGCACTGGTTTCAATGATTTTGAGATTATTTTCATCTGCTCCCAATCTGGGAATATCAGGATATGAACATAATATAAAGACCTGTTGTTCAGTAGGTCTTACTTTCTCCACTCCTACTTTAATTGAACAATATGATGCAAATAAATAATTGACATGCTCAAGCAATTTTGTAAATGTTGTAGTAGTGGAGAACAGGAGGCAGAGGAGCAATCTGTAGGATCAAAAGAAGGTTGGCATAGAGGATGATGTAGGAGAGGGTCTTGGATGACTACCAATGTTTCATAGTGTTATTTTTGAATAATTTCAGAGAGAATTGTTGTGCCCAGGTAAGGAAAGAAAACAGGGACTGGGCATAACTTGAGAGCAACTGATACAGTAGAGAGAAGAGATGCTAAGGAGTAGTTCTAAACTCTGAACCAAAGGGAGAATGAAGGATATGTGGAGAACAAAGAGTACTTAATTATTTAATTTCCCCCATCTCAGGTCACAGGAAACCTGGGGGGGGGGGGGTTAATCTGGAATAAAAACATGGTAGGAAATTGAATTGGAAAAAGAGAAAATTCATGAGAGATCACTTCAAATCCTACTGCATAAATGAGGGATATTAGAAATGGTTCATCATGCAATATTAAATTAGGTACTGAGCCTGCAGTCCTCATTTACAGAAAGTTATTCTGCTGGATCCAAAATACTACCCTGGAGGAACAGGATTATGAACTCAATGATTATACACATTTTCCTGGGTTTTTTTTCTCCTGAGGGAAAATCACAGTACTAGGTTTTAAATGCAGTATTTTATCATATAACCCAGAGGTGGGGTCAGGGGTGGGAACCAAACCTTTCATTCCCAGGTCTGTCATATCCTCCTCTCTAATTGCCAGTGCAAAAGAAAACCCTGTTCCCTTTGCAGCCAAAATATAGGGATACAAAACAAGCTGAGATTCAAACCTGTTTCCTTACACGTCAACAATACACAATTGTTGTTCAGTTCTAGCAGAACAGCAGACTCTGGGTAGCTCTCTTCCAAACTATCATATCAACCTTCCCATCTAGTTCAACGCCCCACTGCAGCAGAGCAGCCTGTAGAAATGAGCTTAGCAATCATCTGCAAAAAAAGAAAAAAAAAGACTTCTAATCTTATCAAGATGAGAATTGATTTTTTTCATCTTGATATAAGAAACTTCACCTCATGCACATGCAATAGTGATAGTGGGATTGAAAGTACAGCTGTTTGGGCAAGATTGTTACTTCTAGGAAACCTGTGGCTGCATCCACATACACAGCATTACTATCACGGTAATCTAGGGATCTTATTTATTAATTATTTATTTACAACATTTCTACCCTGCCCTTCTCAACCCCTGAGGGGAGACTCAGAGACTACCTTTTCAAGTCATACATATACTTTAGGCTTGCTTGCATGTCCCACTAGAGGGAGCTAGGATTTAATATATGCACAGAATTTGGGCTGATTATAAAAGCTTTAAGAACGATTAACAAATGCTGTTTCTATGAAAGCTGTTTTCCAGCAGTCTGAACAAAGTGACATTTTCCCCACTGAGATTGATGTCATTTTCTGGCAATACATGTATATCATCCTGCAGCACTTAAATGTAAATATTTCATTCCTCTATGTTTCATTGCCCTATTGTGCATGTGTGTCTTCTTTCTGCATTACAAGAATACAGGGTTGTTATTGAAAGCAGTGGGTTAGTGACTATGATCTTCCTTTGTTTTAACTGGGAAAAGCATTCACATTTTTCACCAACTGCCAAAAAACTGAAGCATGGACACATCTGTGCTATTATTTCCTTCTAACATGCACTGATACTTTGGTGTTCTCTTTATTGTCATTTTGAAATTCTGCTAATAGCACTCTGGTGCATTAATTTAAGTACAGGTGTGCTACACTGAGATGTTATGTTGTGAATTCGGCCATATATAATGGCCAAATTCACTACCAGGTTGAATTAAAAGTGGGTTAATGTATACCTCTGTGTAATAGACACTAGAAAATACTACATGCCACCATATCTTTGTTCGTTTATTAAGTTCTTTGCTTATGGACCACTCCATTCCTCTGTTTTTCTGCTTAGCTGATTCCATTCTGCCATTTGTTCAAAGATGAGAGTGAGAACCTATTGCTGGTGAATATGCTCCACCAAAAGCTTCATTATCAGTATTGATATAATGTTGCCATAACCTCTATTGAGAAGGCTTGTGGTAAATTCCACCCATTTCAAGAATCACTATTCATAACCAACTACACACTTAATTTTTAGGTACCACACTAAGTTCATGTCCTGACCTCAGTCCCATCATGAATCATGTACCTATACCTCAAAGTCTGGGCAACACACCATGTGTCTACAGAAATGGACTATACAGTTATGCTATATTGAATGTATCACTCTTTAAGTACTCTTTGTTGTTTTATAGTATTTATTTATTTATCATATCAGAAGCGAATTGAGAATGCAGTTGTATAGTATATATATAAAAAACCACAAAGTTAAAAACTTGTCATTATACTAAATTTCCTTTGAATAGAAGCTGGCCACATGGAGTGCCTCTGGTGACATTGTAAGAAGGTCCTTCATTGTACATGTAGCAGGGCTCAGACTACATTGTAGTTGGTCTGTGGTTTGCTCTTCTCCAAACTCGCATGTTATAGGCTCCACTTTGTAGCCCCATTTCTTAAGGTTGGCTCTGTATCTTTAGGTGCCAGAGTGCAGTCTATTCAGCACCTTCCACATACTTATAGTAGTATGTGTGTATTTAGTAAATGTCTGTTCTTTACTTATTGTTTTCTTAATTTATTGCTTTACAAATATTATATTTGCAAATATTGTATTCATTGTTGCTTTTCATCCCAATTTTCTAACTATTTGAAGATAAAGCTTTGTTTTAACTATTTAAAATATAAATCACATCAGCTATGGAAAGATCTGGTCTGAAGACCACATAACAATATTTTATTTTAATCCAAGTCCACAGCAGATGTTGCAAGGCAAGGCATTAATATCTAACCCATATTACTTTGGGACCCAAAAGATTTTTAATGGGATTTGTTATGACTCTCATTCTTGAAATAATTATGAACTTTTTAAAAAATGTACTACAGAGAGAGATTAATAATTTGTTCAATCATAGAATAAAATATTACTCCCAGGTTACGATGTCTCCTTGCATACTCTGAGAATATATCTCTCTATCTGAAGACTCATCATTATCTACATGGCATCAGGGAGCCAAGTTTCCCATACTACTTATGAAGAAGCTGAAATAGTTTTTATTCTGCTAAAGTTTCACTCCACAGGGTAGTAGTCCAAAATATATTCCAATAAATTATCTTTTTAAAAGCTATGAGGACGGAAAATACAAATATTCCATTAAAATCAAATGTATGTGAGTGCTAATTTCATTTCTGAGGAAACATACACTTTGTGTTATTTACAATTATATGGCATGCATTGATAAATTCTATCATTGAGGTTCTTTAGGAATCTGACACCCATTTTTGAGAGATCTTGTAGTACCTGTGATCCCAAGAGAAAGAAGTGGGTAGCATATGTTTTTGTAGACTTAAGTCTACTTCTGGAGAAATGTATGCTATCAACTTCTTTCTCCCAGTGTACAAGATCTCTTTGCATAATGATCTGTCACTAACTCAGTTATGTCTTTGAATTTTACTCATGTCCTATTAGGAATTTTTTTTTAGGAGTGGGAAGTGGGAATGCCTTTTCATGATCAACATGTGCAGCAGAACTATTTCTTGGTAGTTTCAGATGTTATTCCTCTACTGACTAAGATATTTCCATTTGTTTTTGTTTTTAAATAGAGCAGAGATTGCCTGAAACTTGGCCCACCTGCAGAGGGAGAGGTTGTTCAAGTGAAGTGGCCGGATGGAAAACTTTACGGTGCAAAATATCTTGGAACCAACATAGCTTACATGTATTGTGTAAGTTTAATTTAGAAACATTTATTTTCTCTCCTATGCTCATTATATGCCAAGGATAATATATGCTAATTGCAAAATTCTTTACCAAGAATAGTTAGTTAACTTCTATGCCAGGAGTAGTTGAACCAACTTGTTCTGTCTTCCAGAAGATGGACCCAAAAGTAGTTGAACTGACTGCCTTTAGAGGTGATGCCACCATTCTTGCTAAAATTATTTAAGGCAGCACAATCACTTCCTAGATGTTATCTGTATCTAGTTTTGCAGATCCTGCAAGGCTAGATACAGAGGGATTGTCCTAGAGACAATGCTGGACTCTTTAAAACAGGGGTCTTCAAACTAAGGCCCAGGGGCCGGATACGACCCTCCAAGGGCATTTACCCGGGCCTTGCTCAGGTCAACCTATGTCTGAAACAACTTGAAAGCTCACAACAACTACAATCCTATCTCATCAGCCAAAATCAGGCCCACACTTCCCATTGAAACACTAGTAAGTTTATATTTGTTAAAATTGTTCTTCATTTTAATTATTGTATTCTTTTAAAGTGTTTTTTTTTGCACTACAAATAAGATATGTGCACTGTGCATAGGGATTCATTCATGTTTTTTTCAAATTATAATCCGGCCCTCCAACAGTTTGAGGGACTGTGACCTGACCCTCTGTTTAAAAAGTTTGTGGACCCCTGCTTTAAAACTAGCATTGTATGTTGTTCAAAGCTATTTCATTCACTACATGTAGTTCTATATGTTTGTATGTAGTAGACAGTGTTTCCCAATGTTATCTCTGCCTTTGACAAGGGGGAAATTCTTTGGCCTTGCAGATAATATCCAAGCCATAAGCCTGATTTACTTAGTGTGAACTCGGGTCTGTTTTTGGGACACAGTTCTGAACCAGTTTACTATCTTCACTGTAATGTATCAGATCCTATGGTTTCAGATTTTATAGCCTAGGGGTATCTGAATATATTCAAAATCAGGCTTTTTTTTTCTATAGGCCTTCTCCATTATTAGGTTTGTACATCTTTGCTGATATTTATCTTCTAAACTATTTCCTGTCCTAGCATATTTTACATTCTGGACAGTGGCTGAGCTTTCTGGAAGGAAGACCAGAATATTTAGACATCAGACTAGAGTGATCACAGCTTAGGCACAAACTATGTGATAAGTACAAATCTGTAAATGTAATCCACAACTGCATTAGAACTAAAAAAAATTACCCCTGAAGGGGGGGAATCAAAAATTGAAAAGTAGCAATAGAGTTCATGTTTCTATTATTTTTCTGCTCCATCCTACTTCTGCCAGCTTCCCTCACTAAGTAGGGGCCCACATCCATGATCTTCATGTATGTATGTTTAAAGCCATGTACGTGTGTTTATCTTTAAGTGGCCCTTCAATTTGTGGCAATCTGTTAATTCCAGGGGGTTTTCTTAGGCAAGAAATATTCAGAAGTGATTTTGTTTATTTCCCATTAATGTGGAGACGTCTAAGACTATGTTTTGTTCCCCCTTGCTGCTTCTTTAAGGTTTTTTCCCCTCATACTTTTGGGTTCTTGTATTATTTACCTAGTTCTGTCAGTAACATTTGGACCATTATTCCAGCATGTGAGTAACTTCTGCCTTTAAAAATACTGTCTTCCTCCCCCATATATTTCAGTCTTTAAGCAGTCTGGGTCAAGGTTGTGAGACTACTAGCAAAAACACTTCCAGCAACTGCTGTAAGGTGCAACTCATCACTTGCCAGAAATCTATATTCATGAGATCACACACCATAAAATCTTGATTTAGATTACTTTCTTGAGAGCCTTATAAGATATACATACATACATTTTTGTTCTATGTCACTATAGATACTTGTGCATTGTTTGCTACATACAATAGAACAACAGAGCACTAATGAGCACACAAGCACACCTCCACTTTGCTCATACAAACAATCAGACTTAACCCAATAGAAACATCTGTGTAGTTTGGGTAAATTCATAAAGCGGCATAGAATGTAGTTACCATATATACTTATATGTAAGTCCACCTCATGAATAAGCTCGTGAAAACACCATAGAACACTATTCAGTACATAAGCAAGTGACCGTTCTTCCAGGTCACATAAAAAACAGCCTTAACCTATAGAGTTTCCATATAGACTCCCCAGGGCTGGAAATATTTAACCCAACCAAGACATAACTTCCCCTTATGCTGTCTCTTCCACCATACCCATGCAAAACATCCCTATTGGTCTTCCTTGTAACTGAGGTCCTGTTTGCCAAGCTCCAGGAATGAGGGCTGCAGCTATAGAGAGAGCTCACTCCACTTACTTCCTTTTTTTGATTGTGTTCCATTATGCAGGGTGGAAGCTACTAGGGGGCGCTAGACAGAGAAGGATAGTCCATTTTATGGGGGGGGGGATTGAAGGAGTTAAACCATTAACCCCTGGTTTCCTGTTATTCCCCCATCCATGTCTCCATCGTTGAAACAACTATTGTTTATGATATGGGAAGGGGGGGTTAACCAGTGGAAATGAGGATAATAGTTTTCCTTCAACACCCTCCCCCCCTAAAATTGTTTATCCTTCTCTAGGCCCTCTTTTGGAGTCTGCCTGGATAATGAACAGTTTCCATGATCTGTTGAGTAGGGTGATCAGTAAGGGACTTTCTCTTTTGTAAAATCTCTGGTAATGTAGCCTGTAGGTGGACAGTGTTTGTGATAGAGATCTCAGCTCAGCTGAGCCAAGCATTGCACTATGAAGGGAAAGAAGAGGCTATTAGAGCTCTCTCGTTTAACAGACAGTGTCTGTTTGTGGGGAAGAACATAGCTGAGTGACTGCTCGGTATTCAGTATCAAGAAATGAGAAATCAAGGATTTCTCATTCCTTGTAGAGGCCTGGTTAACCACATGAAAGCACTAGGCCCCTTAGCCATTGTGTTCCAACAGCACTACATGTATGCCTGCAGTGAAAAAGAAAAGTAGAAGCAGAGAAGATAAAAATTTTAAATTCTCATTATTTTTGTTGATTACATACTCTGGGGAGGAAGGAGTAAACCTTGTTAGTATCAGCATTTAAGTATATTTCACGGTGTGAATACTTCATTAGAAAAATGTGTGCATACTTTTAGGCCAGTGAGTCTATTGGACAACATATTTCCTCTTGCTGCCATGTTCTTAAGTTGCCCTTGAACAGATGTGAATTAATGAAGACCTGGTCCTTTTCTCTTAAATATGGTCCTCCCTAGTCATAAAATTACAGTTGGTGGAGAAAATGCATCACAATGTTATTTCTAGTCTTGTGTTATGTAGAGGTAGATATTCCTGAATTGTCTAGTGCAGCTGCTCTGTATTTCATGCAAGGAGTCTAACATATTCATTCTGTAAAGGACAGCACAGAAACACTAGTATGCATCAGCAGATGGCAAATGAAATGTTGGTGCAAGGTCATTCCGGGAGATAATAAGATGAGATTGTGTAATGTTAAGCATTGTTCTTGACGACGGTCTGCATTAAAGGCAGTTTTCCACAGTAAGCATGCATATTATATCAGGAATAAACCTATTTTCTATTCGTAAGAGCAACAGTCAACAAAAAGAGGTTAAGTACCCTTTCTAAGGTTACTTGAAAGATACAGTTATCTGTTTCTTGGTATTGTAGATCCTGTCTTATAATTAGAATCAAATCATGCAAAAAATACTAAAAACAGTGGGAAGATAGGATACTCAAAAGCTGGCAGTTTTATCCAGTGTATACTTATAAACCACAAAATGCCTGTATATTCCATATCTATATAGAAGAAAATGAGAGATTTCTAAATAGAAGAAATCATTTATGTAACTTATGGTGCCTTATGGTACCTTCACATGACGGGAAGTTACCTGTAGTTCAACTGCTAGTAACAAAGCCCTGATGACCCTTTCTCCCTTGGCAGGATCTGAGTTGCACTGGAGGAAGGTAGGGTGGAAAACAAAGTTGTTGTTTATGTGCCAATTGTGTGAAACCTCTCTTTGACGGTTTTAACAAGCTCAGTATTCCTGGGATACACATTTGTTTAATATTGTCACTGCTAAAAGCAGTGGGGAGACATTTCATAGTAAAGATTATTGTCAGGAAAAGGATTACACCCAGTCTTTTCAAATTCAGCTATCCTATCTCTGAGATCCTTTCTGGGGAAAGGGATTTGTGGCGTTGTACATACTGTTTAATATACAATTTGTTCCTCATAAATCTGCCTGCCTATCTATTGCTAATTAGCTAAGATACAAGTATCTTTGCCGCAACTCTAGTTATGTGTATTCAGTTCTTCCAGAGCTGGAGTAGTACTAAGAGGAGACATCCTAATGTGGTATTTTAGGGTTGTGGGCCTAAGGACATTTTGGTTCTTTATGTGAACCAGAAATGGTGTACACATCTGTGTAGTTTGGGTAAATTCATAAAGCTGCAGAGAATATAGTTACCACATATATACATGTATAAGTCCACCTTGTGAATGTATAAGCCCAACTCATGTATAAATCAAGGACAAAGTTTGGGGCCTTAATTATGGAATTTGATATGATCCATGAATAAGTCAGGGGTTATTCTATGGAGAAGGGAAAGCACCAATGCCACCTTGAGGCTAATTGTCCCTGGCTGCCACCTCCATTTTCTCACCAGGCATTCAAAAAGGCCATAAGTGGTGTCATGTTGGAGAGGGTAGATAGAGGGATCAGTGCATCTTTTAGGTTCTCCCGGAATGGACTACTGTTTCACCATTCTACTCAGAAAAGGGGATTGTTCCCTTTTGATAAACATTTACGATACAGTACTTACAGTGACCCAATCCAGTTTTTTGGGGTATATTTTTGACTCAAATGTCTAGATTTATATCAGCATATAAGGTACTGCCATATAAAATAAGGATCTGTTTATGCTGATATTGTATAATAAATAAATAAATAAATAAATAAATAAATAAATAAATATTTGTTACCTGCCTCTCCTCATGGCTTGAGGCAGGATACAACATGGTCTAAACAAATAAATAAACTATAATACTATTAAAATTATATATGGGTTTGCCTTAATCACTTTCAGATGTAATGGTAATATGTGCAAAATTAGAAATATATTTCCAAGGGAAAAATATGGGGTTTAAACCTTCCGTGTCTCACAGTGTTGGTTTTGTGTTCCTTTTTAATATGCATGTGTGAGCTTACGAAGATGACTAAATTACCCGTGTACCTAATCAAATGCTTTCCAGCAATTCCAATTAAACTACTAATTTATGATGTCCTAATGCAAGAAAATCACATGGAGAGAACTAAATAGCAAATGTTTTTGACATAATATTGCAGTAGTGTTTTTTGTTATTATGTGTGCATATCTCTTGGGGCTGATATAAATTAATATGGACAGTTATTGACAGACATACTGGTCTGCAGTTTGCCAACTGAAGCCTGGTTCAGATTTTAACCCATTAGAGGTAATCTATTGATACTAAACCTGATAACCCCCTATTGAATATTTTGAAAGAACCATTCCTTGTTATTAGATTGCAACAATGTGGAATAGTTTCCAGCCCAAAATAAAATTTGATTTTCAGTTAACAGGGATGGCAAAAGCATGGCTGGATGCTCAATGGAACAGCTAAAATGCATAACCTGGATTATTTTTTGGCTAATAAGGGTTTTTAAAATAAAGGTTTCACTAAATTTCAAAAGAGAAGTATATCTTCCACAGTAAGAAAGCTAGGAAATGTAGTAGTGATAAAGAAGGGGAGAATAAAAAACATTGATGTACGCTATATTTTTAGGCTGAATGTTTGGCATTTTGAAACTATTCTTTTCTTTGTTGTGTTGTATTTCTTCAAGTCGTTTCTGACGGCAGCCCTAAAGCAAACCTATAACAGGATTTTCTTGACAATATATGTTCAAAGGAAGCTTGCACTTGCCTTTTTTGTGGCTAAGAGAATGTGACTTGCCCAAAGTCAACTCAGTAGATTTCCATGGCCAAACAGGAATTGGAATCCTGGTCTCCAGAGTTGTAATCCAAGGCACTAAACAATCCTGGCTCTCATTTAAACCCTTTTATATAATGAGTTTCTGGGTTTTACTCTCTTATACACTATCTTACTAACAACTCAAGAGTCTTGTGTGATCTTAAAGACTTTACATATTTTATGGCATAAGTTTTTTTTTTGGTCTACAAGAGCTTTTCCCATCATAAAGGTGTATAAAGCAGCATAAACTTTTCTGTTTGACCACACCAGATTAAAACAGCTTGCTGATCTGCAAACATTTCCTATTTGTTTAAATTTATTCATATCCTGCCTTAAGTCCCCATGGGGAGAAAGGTGGGGTAGAAATAGTTAATATATAAATAATAAATAAATAATACTTCTCCTCATATGGGACCCAAAGTGGCATACAATATTACTTAAAGCAAAATTCATTTAAATTTCTTTATATACTGCTTTCATACTAAATAATGATGTGTGACATGGTATGGAAGTGAATGTGGTGTTAATAATGTAAGCATGAAAGGGAATTACAAGCTAAGTAAGTCAGACCTCTTCATGTGGGGTTAAAATCGGCATATGCCATCTCCTCCCTCCTTCACCCATGGAGGTGGCCGGTTCTCATTAGATGGCACCGGGGTGGCTCCGTGAGTGAAAGAGGGCAGAACAGCACATGCCGCTTCCAGGGCAACATGGGAGGGCTCCCATGTTGTCGTAGAATCAATGGGGGGAAGCTGCACACTCCATGTATGCTCCACACTTCCCCCATGTGATTGCTTTCACCTGGATCTGAACGATGTGGGGTGTGGGGTGCCAGATTTCCCTTCACCCAACAAAGTGGAACAATACCGGTGGCCATGTGGCAAAGATGCACATAAACCAAATGTTGCCTACAGATAGAGGCATAATATACTCTGATCGAGGGAGCTATTACCCCTCAGAACTTGGCAATTCTAAAGACGGTAGTGTCGCCTCTAGATGAAGGGTTCATGTTTATACACACACACACACACACACACACATCTTTTTCATGTCCATAAATGAATTATACATGTCTGAATATATTGGGAGCTTTGAATATTGTTAATGAATTTGATCAGAAACACAGAACATGTAGATATTACCAGGTGTCTGGCAGTTTAAAGGCAGTGTCAAAAAGTAATTTACAACTTCTGGAAGCCACATCCAGCACAGCAGCAGCAGAGTAATTTAGCATTCCCCACACCTAGCTGCATTCTCTTTCTCATTTTCTGCTAAAGGGGTTCATACTGGATTAGATCTAAACCTAAGCATGATAAAGCTTTTCATCTTCTGAACAGACTATTTTAAAGAAGTTCCATCAGATTCAATATAATTCTGTTAACTGGCATTTCCTTTAGTATCAGTCATAGCTTCTTCCTTTTGGCATAAGTCTCCCACAACCTTGAAAACAGAAATATTAGTTCATATCACTTTGAAAATTAGAGGAAAACATATCTAGCCACTCCGACATGCAACATAATGATTTGTGTACATTGGCATTTTTAATAAAAGCCTCCCAACTGTCCTGCAAGGTGTTTCCTTCTCCAGGGAATTGAGACCACCACTCAAAATAATATTAAAAGGCATTTCTGTGCAATCAGAGAGAGGCTGTATGTTTTGGAGAGAGATACTGTCTGTTTTAGGGAAGAGGTCCTAGAATAGAGGCCTTAGCCCTTGGGCCACAAGGAGAGTCTTATATGGGGAAGATGCTGAGATTTGGCATTTTGATAGCTTGTTTAACATACCTAATTTGGTGGGGGAGTGTGGATGATCTTCCTAAAGTTTGGAGCCTCATAATATATGTGTCTTCTTTGTTGCATTTACACTTTTAAAACTATATTATCTTTCCATGGGTTCAAGTAGGTTGCCTCAAAGTAACAAACGTTTCAATTTTTTTGTTGTGATTGTCCTGATATATGCATGGGTTTGTATCTAGGCCTCTCTTGAAACATACTGGGTTTTCCTTCCTCCTTTGTATTCTTCCCCACTGATTTTATGTCACAGTCAGTCTAATGCAACATTTCAGAAACTGTTTTTCACCGATTTCAGTTACATTTCAGAAGTTATTGTCAAAATGCGAAAGGAAATTCTTAATATTACACTATCGAAGCATTAAAATCATTTTGTTTTAGCATTAACAGCCATCTTTTCTTTGCTCGGTCTCTATTCAATCTGTGTTGTGGAAACACTAACTGTTTCCCTTATCCAAAATACTTGGGACAATAAGTACTTTGAATTTCAGATTTTTCTAAAAAGAAAATTAATTTATGCTTCATTTATATATTATGCACAGAGCCTGAAGGTAATTTTATGTATAATATTTTTAATAATTTTATGCATGAAACAAAGTTTACATTGAACCACCAGGAAAAAAGCTACCCCTATCTCATCCACCCATGTGAACAATTTTGGATTTTGAAGTATTTCAGATTTTGTAATTCTATATAAGGGATACTTACTCAACCTATTTAGTGGCCATCTTTATGAAGATGGGAAATATAAATCCTATTAACGGATACATTTGATTTTGGAAAGTACTTGGTTAAATTGTTTAAGATAGTGGGAATAAAAGCTTTGGATAATGCTGGAAGCTACCAGAAAATACTTTGAGATTTAGAAAGCATCATATGGATCTGCAAAATAAAATTGGTTTCTGCAGGAATAAAACTTGGCATTTCATGAGAATTTTCCCATCTGGAGGTAACTTATAAAAATTGTAACCCTCTGTCCCTCTCTCACATTTCCAATAAAGCAAAATACTTTTATGTACAGATAGATTACTTACATATTGAAGTTAACATTGCAGATGAGAACTACAAAAATCACTTGTTTTGAACACAATTTAGAAAAATAAAATAATGTGGTTAACTTCTTTTAAGATATATATTTTACATTTAAAAACAAATACTTTCAATCTCTTCTATTCTGGTGTTTACTTGAATTATTTCGATATGCTCTGATGGAGTCAAATCTATTTTTCATATCTTGGAAACCAACATCTCCATTTATTCAGATAAGGATTATATTTTGATCCCTTTCTTTGTTTCACAGGTAGAGTTTGAAGATGGCTCTCAGATCGCAACAAAAAGGGAAGAAATCTACACTCTTGAGGAAGAACTCCCCAAAAGAGTGAGAGCTCGATTTGTAAGTATATCCAAAGAAGGATGGATGGTCCCAGGGGGTTGGACTGGATGGCCCATGAGGTCTCTTCCAACTCTTTGATTTTATGATTCTAGGTGAAATTTAGATAAAGTATCATCCTGCCAATCTTTTACATCCTTTACAACATTCACTGATTTTTCATGAATACAGAGCTTATGTGACTTTTTCACAGCCTGTGCCATTGAATAAGGTTGGAAACTGAAAAGCATCCAACTGCAAACGCTTTCCCTCTGCACTTCCTTATTCTGCCACATGGAAAACTTGTTCACCAGTCAATAATTCTTGGGGAAAGTAGGGATCCAACCCCATTCTAACCCAGGAAAAGAGCAGTAGTGGAATTCACATAGCCTATTTCTCTTATAATATTACATGATAACCTATCTCGACAAATTTCAGGGATTAGTTTTCCTTCAATATGAGAACCTGGAAAAAAACTTACAGTTTATTTTGTTGTATTTTCAGTATGTGTATTTTAGATTAGATTTCAAAGAAGTAGCCATGTTTCATCTTTTCCAGCATAAAAAGGCAGGCGGGTGTAGGTGGGTGAGGAATACAACAGTATCTTTAAGCCTAACTGGTTTTTATTTTAGCATGAGCTTTTTTAGATACAAACCCACTTCGGATGCAATAAGACAGTGTAGAGATTTCATCTGCTTCTCCAATGTCCAGTGCATTGCTGTCATAGGATTGCATATATTTCATTGGAAGAAGAGCAAGTAAATTCATCTCTGATGTTGTAGGTGATGTTGTTAGTTCCTGTAATATTGTTTCCATATTAGATATGGAGATAGAGCTGACATCTGGGTGTGTGGCAGAGTTTTTTCCTTGTATTATTATCAATGTTATATGAACTACAAGACATTCAGATTACCACCCTAAATGAGTCTCTCATTTCTTCCACTTGTGGAGAAGGATCAGTAAGTCAGATTTTCTGATAGACCAAAAAGGTTGAAAACTTTATCAGACATTTACAAGCTTAAAAATCAAGCAGAGGTAGAATCGGTATATTTACAATTCCACATAATTAAAAACAGAACATAAATTAACTCATTTGCTAAGAACAGTGTTGTTTTTTAGCCAACTGTATTCAGGGAAGGGGCCCATCACCACTAATTGTTTTATAGAGTATTTATAATGGCGCTTATAATTAGCTAAACATACTGTAAATCTGATTTACTGTTGCAATCAGCTATGAATTCTATTGCAGATATGGTAGCTTTCCACTATTCATCTGAAATTATGATAGTTTTATAGATCATTTTTACTTTTGCTTGTGATCGGCTTCACTTTTAGGGAAGTTAATCATATTTTATACTGTTCCTTGAAATCTAGGAATTTCCTATTAGCTAGACACCTCTTCTGGCATCTGTTCATGGTGCTGTTCTATTTGTCACCCAACATTATGACAGTAAGCCAATATCTCTCCCAGTGCAGACTAGCAAAACAGACTGCTACAGAGCTGTGTTGCATGGCTTTGCTTGTCTGGGAAACTGGAGATATTTGTGTATGTCAGTTTGCTGTTCATGTGGCTCTTATCTGCTTCACTGCTACATAAAAACCGTGGGATCTCGGAGAATCATACGTACACCTTTGTCATGCCAATTAGCCAATAACATCTTCATGTCTCAAAGGAGGAGTGCTACTGGCCATTGTGCTACTGTATTCATCCAGTGGCCTTTTTTCCAAGCCAGGAAATTGTTACCCACGATTTCCTTTTTGTGCTATTCCTATCTTTTTTCAGAAGAGAAAGTGGCTGGGACCCCACCCTCCTCCATAATTAGGCTAGGGGATGATGGTCTTAACTCTAAACTGTGGCAAAAATACACATACACACATCCTGAGTGGTGAAGTAGATTTCTATCATGGCACATAGTTTCAGATTTTTATATGCAGTGCCTAAATCTGTTTTGGAAGTTCAGCTATGGTAACAACTGCTCTCAAAACTGTAGCACTATTACCCAAAAAGTCAATATAAAAAGGATCTCAGAAACTGTCTAAATATCAGTCTACAGGTAGAGATTTGCATGTTTTAATGTTCTCCCACAAAAAAAAAAAATACAAAATCCACATGCATATCAGATTGGTGGCCTGAATTACATAGCTGCTGAGCTTGGTGGTGATGATGGTGATGACTGGATACCTCTGAGACTATGACTGCTGAAAAAAAAGTCATGATGGTGTGGTGGGGCTTGTAGGACTTTTTGAGATCTTTGCTGATTTATGCTGATTTGAGTCAATGGAAGTAAACTGGTTTTTGATATGTTTTTAGTTACTGTCTATAGATAAAATAAACTCTATACTGAATGTCTGTTTTCAGTCTACAGCTTCTGATATGAGATTTGAAGACACATTTTATGGAGCTGATATTATCCAGGGAGAAAAGAAGAGGCAGAGGGTATTGAGCTCCAGATTTAAGAATGAATACGTGGACGACCCTGGCTACCGCAGTTTCCTAAAAGCCTCATTCCAAAAGAAGTGTCAGAAAGGACTATAAACAAAGGAAGGAACTCATGCTCATTTGTTCTTTTTCTCTTTATGTGTGGAGGGAATGAAATATATTCAGTGTGGTACAGACAAAAACAGGCAGAAGATATTATTTTGATGATCTGCCTTTATCAAATCAGGCATCTAGCTTCTGAGGTTGCCAAGAATTCTACCAAAAATATTCTGGGTTTTGTAGATGTTTCTTAACTTTGGGGCCCAATACAGAGTTAATGTGTTAAAACTAAACTTGGATGTCTGATTTCCATTAAGGCTTGATCAATATCATGTTGGAAATAGGCGGCCTTATCAAATAACACACATAAGAACTGCATTACCACACATCAGTAACTGTTTATTTTTATCTCCCACTGATAGTTACAAGAAAAGCTATATTTAGACAGAGATCTTTGTTCAGCCCCAAAAGGCTATGAATTGCAATTATTTGTATATTTTCCACAATCCTACATTTTTGCTATAAAGTGCAAGTATAAAAGACATAGAGATCTCCAGATGCCATTGTTACTTTTCTGGGCTTTCCACATTGTTTATGCCGTCACTGCTTTCAATATTCTCTGGGGTTTCAGGTGTGCATGTTAATAAGTAATGAGCATAAGTTTCTAAAGAAGGACATCCTGACGAATGGAAAAGGGGTGTGTATTTAAAGAGGGAAATTTTGGCATCTATTTTTTAAAAAAAATCATTAAACTCTTGCGGGAAAATAGCAATTTGTACAATAAAATGTCTATTGTGTTTGTAAAATTAGAGTTTACATATCTTTGCTTGGCAGGCTAGTTTTCAACTAATGTAATATAGTAATATAATTTGGTCTTCCCTTTTTAAATAACAGTGCAAATGTAATTGTGTTTGAAATAAAATGATGTCCCTTTGCTTACTAATGTTGAGTGTGACAGTCTAACATTATAGAAATGCAACATACATTACATACCTCACCAATCTAGTGAGTTTAGGCTGAGTTTAAACCTATCAGGGGTGTGTGGGTTTGTGTGAAAAATATCATTCATTTGCAAGGTTCAGAGTGGCTAGTTTGTGTGTTCTGCAAATAAGATTGTCAATCAGGAAGCCAGAGAAATCCAACCCAAATCTGAATAGAAACAGATCTTTTCCAGTCTGACTTAGCAATATCCATGCACAACCAGGTCTATGTTCTTTATAATATATGGAGAAAATTATGTAAGTACACTTTCACATTCACTGTTGACTTTTTCTTATTTTGGTTCCAAAGTGGCTACCAGGGCAATTAATTATATTACTTCTTAGTTTTTAGCATTATCCATAATAATAATAATACAACTTTATTTTTGTATCCTGCCACCATCTCCCCTTAGGGACTCAGGGTGGCTTACATGGGGACCAAATCCAGTCAAACAGAGATTAAAATATAACACAATAGAATTATACAAATAATAAACAACATAAAACAAACAAGGACAGGGCTGATGGAAAAGTGCAGGAGCCAGGTGCTAAATCTGGGGTTGGAAGTGCCAAATCACTCAGTACAATACAGCTATATGGCAGGGACAATGATAAAGTGCAATAGGCAGATACTGAGTTGTGGCTAGAGGGGCCAAAGTGTCTAGTGAACTAGTTAATCAAAAGCACAGTGGAACATCCACATTTTTAGATCTTTACAAAAAGTGGACAGGGTGGGTGCTAATCTAATCTTCCTTGGAAGAGAGTACCATCATTCTGCCCCCCCCCCCCCAAATGAGCCCGAGGATGTCTGGATTTTTTTGGGGTGTGTGTGACAAAATAGCCCTTGCATCACATGAGATCTAGTAAGGAGATACTGCTTTTCAGAACCTTCTGCTTGATTTCAGAGAAATATCTGGATAAGTCTGTTTCAAGAAGTAGGAAAAGGCAGGGTCTTGTGGCAGCTTTAAGACTAACCAGTGAATTTTAGCATGGATTTCTGTAAATCACAACCCACTGATTTGTTCCAGTAAGTGCTTTTATAGTAATAATAATAACATAATTATTATGGTTAGAGGAGGAGTACGACATGTATAAATCAGACAAATACAACAACATTAAATGTATATAACACAATACACACAAGAAAGACCAACACCAATACCAATTAAATCCAGGGTAAAATTCACAGTTTAAAAATTGTGTCTTGAATTCTGATTTTTAATGGATAACAATCCAATGATAAGAGTACAATTCTGAAGCCTCAGAAGACATTTTCTTTTCTGTCTCCCCTCTCTACCTTTTGTCCTGAAACAATATTTTTCTGAAAATTGCTAAAACAGGCATGCCTGTGCGACTCTAACTGACCAACTTAATCATGTCTGTCTTTTACCCTGGAAGGTGGGGGAAATTAGGGAAGAGCGAGAGGAAACCATAAGTGTAAATCAGTAGGAAACAGAAGTTTTAGTGTGTAGAAAAAGCTGTCATGGAAGGCATGCTTTCCATTTTTATACATTCAAGGTTATTTAACAGTTTGTGTTCAACTGAATGAACAAGAGATAAAAATACAGAAAGCTGTGAGATGGACAACAGTGTCTATCTGCTAGAACACATGTCAGACAGATTGTGTTTGTTTCATTCGTAATACGTTGTCAGTGCCTTTATGTCTATGATTAGCACACTAACACACATTTTGAGGGTTGTAGGCTAATGTTGCACATTTTGACAGTAACCAGTTTAAACATGAGTCTGTGAAAGAGCACATGAGTTTTTAATGCATCTGACATGATACTTAAGGTCTTGTTAGGTACAATCTTGCCTCAGTCATTGAATTTTATTGGGATTTCTATACTGTTGTCCCCCACCTGCAGCTCTCTGTTGCCTTTTCTACCTCTTTTCTTACTGCAGACAATCTATTAATGACAATGTACCAGCCTGCTGCCTTCTGATTTCTGGGGTGAAGAATCCTCTTTCTTGCAATGCTTATAATTTCCAGCCTTTTTGTTTTGTAGGTTTATGATGAGTATTTGCAAATTTCTCAACATGAAGGGGTGCCTTGACATTTTGAGACAACCCCAAGGAGAGAAATGTTGACAGTTACTTTTCCCATTATTTGTTTTCAAACAATTTTGTGGGAGAAAGCTGCAGTTTGTTTTGGCAAATGTCTTAAAATGTGAAAATATATAAAATGCCCTGTCACTCGGGGTGGGAGACTTTGAATGTGTTTTGTTTTTGTTCATATGTGCAAGATCTGAATAAGCAAAGATGTACATCCTTAGCTTTTTGGTTTTAATCTTTTCAGGCAACATAAGAGACAGCAGACCAGAGCTTTCCAAACTGTGTCATGACACTTTAGTGTGTCAGCTGAGATGTGTAGGTGTGTAGCACAATAGTAACAAGAAATGACATAAAACTTGGAAATGTATATTATCTTACAAATCATGTATTTTCAAATACTATAAATGAAAGGTTTTCATGAGATATGCTGTGCTCCCATATATTTCGTTATTACAATATATGTATGTGTCGGCATCTCTTACAAGGAGTTGATTTAACCTCCGATTTGCTTGAAAAACTGAATTATTGTTTAGCAAAAGTCTAAAAAGTGTATTTATTTATTTATTTATTTAAAGCATTTATACTCTGCCCTTCTCATCAAAGGGGACTCAGGGCAGAGCACAACATATAAACGGCAAACATTCAGTGTCGGGACATAAATAGACTATACACATACATAAACATTAAAATCATTTATCTCAACATTAAAATCCACTGTTTAAAACTGTCTCAATCATCTGCATCGAATCTGGTTGGCATGGTAAGGTTTCCTATTGCTACCGTATTGCACTGTCCCAAAGGTTTGGTCCCACAGCCATGTTTTTACCATTCTTCTGAAGGACAGGAGGGAGGGGGGGCTGATCTAATCTCACCAGGAAGGGAATTGCATAGCCAAGGGGCAGTGACTGAGAAGGCCCTCTCTCTCATCCCCACCAATCACGCCTGTGACAGTGGCGGGACAGAGAGCAGGGCCTCCCCGGAGGATTTTAATCTCCATGGTTGTTCATAGAGAGAGATGCGTTTGGACAGGTAAATTGGGCTGGGGCTGTTTAGGGGTTTATAGGCCAAAGCCAGCACTTTGAATTGTGTTCAGTAGCAAACTGGCAGCCAGTAGAGCTGGCGTAACATGGGAGTTGTGTGCTCCCTGTATGCCGCTCCAGTTATTAACCTGGCTGCCTCTTGTTGGAATATTTGTAGCTTCCAAACAGTCTTCAAAGGCAATCCCACATAGAGTGCTTTGCAGTAGTCTATCTTAGATGTAACAAGAGCATAGACCACTGTTGCCAAGTCACCAACTAGACATGTCTGGAAAGCTCTGCAGTAGACTCTCCTAATGAGTCCACTCTATATTTAAGATCTGTTTTAGGATTATCAAAAGTCCAAAGGAGGTTCATGATAAACATTATATTTGTACTTGAGGCTTTCCTTTCCATCTCCTGCCCTTCCTGTTACATGTCTTCTTTCTATAACTGATCTGTGATCATAATGGAATTGATTGACTACTTAGGAGTAGGCTACACTAAACATATAGAAGGAATTCCAAGGAGATATTCTGCCCATAAGGCTCTTAATATTTTGGGATTTTTCAGTGTTTGTGACTAGAGAAAAGTAAAATGCCCTCTCCCACAAATCTGCAAGTAAGCAGGATTAATGGCAACCTGTTTGCCAAAGTTGAGGAGTGCACTCTGCTCTGCCTTAAAAACAATTGCAGTGTTCCTAGTTCTGAATATAAATCATTTTTGTAGTAATTTAATATAAAAGAAATTTTATAGGCAGCCATGATAGTTTGCTTTAGCCAAAATAAGGGAATCTTCCAAGCCGTGTAAATAGGACCTTCTGCAGCCAAGTCCCACTTCTGCTGATTTTGAATATTCTATTTTATTTTAGGATAGCAACCCATCCAAGTCTGTTTTGCTGCTGACACACTTGCATATTTAAATTTCACTATCTCTCCTACAAGGTTGTGTAGCTCCTCTGTCATTGGCTGTGCTGACAAGGGCTGATAAGAAGTGTGGTTCAACATCAGGGGAGCCCTGTGTTCTATACTCCAGTGTTTGCAAAAGGTATGGTGTTGTGCTACAGTTCATAGCATTCTCTAGCCCTTTGAAGGATATAATGAATACTATGTGCTGGGTAGTTTGAAAGTTTGTGTGCAGCAGGTCATCCCTGGTTTACTATACCACCTAGTTGTCCAAGAAATGTAATCTTGGTGCATATAAGCAGATAAACCTGATGAGGTTTCTATGAAGTCAGGACCATATTTGTCTTCCTGTTAACTCCACTATGTGCCCAAATACACTAAAGGCAACAGATCCTGTCTGATCTTGGAAGCTTAGTAGAATCGGCCCTGGTTAACACTTAGATGAGAGACTGCAATGAAGACCAGGTGCTACATGTAGACTGTATCAGGAGAAGAAACTGGCAAAAGCATCTCAGAATATTCTTTGCCAGAGGGTGCATCTACACTGCAGAATTAATGTAGCTTGATACCACTTTGACTACTGTGGCTCAATACTATGGAATCATGGGAGTTTTAGTTTTTCAAGATCTTCAGCCTTCTCTGCTGAAGAGTCCTGGTGCCTCACCAAACTACAGTTTCCAGGATTCCATGATTGCACCAAGGAAGTGAAATTGCTGTGAAACTGCATTACTTCTTAAATGTAGATGCACCCTAAGAAAGCCCTGTGGAATCCATAAGATCTCCATATGTCAACAGATGATGTGAAGTCACATATACACCTTAACTCCACTGAACATTTTCTGGAACTAAGCCACCCAAGTTTTTGTTCTACACATAGGTGTTTTATTTTGAAATAACAAAGGGGATGGGCCATCTCCCGTAGAGAGGAATTAATGGCTATTATTAAAGTTTTAAAAAAATCCAGAAACCAATTGAGAGGAATCACAG